CTTTCCGTGGTTTTTATACTCTGCCACATAACAAAGAAGATTTCATTGTGCAAAATAATGCTTCATTCTTAGGATGTACTTTTCATCAAATGAGATACCTCCCAGTAAGTAAATGGTATGCTCAAAATGCATTTGGATTTGTTAAGGAGCAAGGAGCRGTATCTAATTTGTAAGCATTTTTCTTGTATAATATATTGGAATATTTATGTTTTAGATAGATATTTTTAGTTTTAAAGAAGGTAATTGTTGTTAATTAATGTGGTTCTRAATTGAAGCATTGCCTTCTTCCCAGAGGGCAGAAACTTTAATATGCTATTGATAAGTATATCCATATTATTTGTGATACAGGGAARTTAAAGAAAGGTTTTGCATCAGCAGTCCAGTATGAAAATGAGAGTGTGAATGAATGCAGCTATCAAAGRATTGCATCTTGTTGGTTGATGTAGTGAGTTATATTCATTTCTAGTAAATCATGTTAAGTAACAGGAAATTATTGTATCAGGATGTACAGATAGTAACAGGTGCTTCATTTGTTTAAATATCCAGAAATCAGTAACTGGCTTAGTTAGAAGATAAACTGCATTGTAGTAACAGGTTGCTTTGTTAACTTTAAAATATAATTGATCATGTAAGRTAAGAAGCTTAAGTAGCTTTAGTTTTACAGGTACTTTTAAGAGTAATTTCAGAACAGTGAAGATGTTGACGTTTCATTCATGTTGCTCTTAATGCTGAGAATTCAGAGGGTGATTATTGTGGAACCAGGTATGCAAAACTGGTTGTAAAGTAATTTCCAACTGACACAGAGAATGTGGCTCCAGAATGTACTGGGGAGAAGAGCCTGCACAGTGCCAGGATTTGCATTTAGCTCCTGGTGGGCAAGGAGCAGTGTCCCCTCTTTTGAACCAAAACCAAGATACTGCCTTTTTTTTTTTAATTTTAAACAAAGATTACAATTGGGGTAATTTTTTTTTTTTTTAAAGAGAGGTGATAGGTAGGAAAGAGGCTGGTGCATATAGTCTATGTAGGCTATGAAAAAGCGGAAGTATGTGACTTGGAGATGGAAAAAAGATAAAGCTGGAATAGGGGTATGAAGAAGCCATTGATGGTAGAATGTTAAACAGTGGTCTGGAATATTAAATAAGGTCTTGTCAAATGTCTTGCCTGTAAGTATCCACAAGCTGCAAAGATGTTTCATTGTAGGCAGATTCATGGTGCTAGTGAGTGTGCAGAGGTGTTCTCCTAAGTCAGCGGGAATACTCTGACCTTGCAAGATGAAGGCTTTTGTTGGGAACCAGGATCAGGATCATAACTCTGCTGATTATTTTTAGATGTAATTTTATGATTCTTTGCTTTTGATGAGCTTTAAATAAAACCTAAAAAAACACCAGTGATAATTTATAAAAGATTGGTGAGAATTTGTGCAATACAGTATTTATCAAGTATTTTCAGCACTTCAGTCCCTATTTTATAAAACATCAGGATACTGTGATCTCACTGATGATATGTTTGATGTATTAGAATTTTTTTGATCAGCATTCATGAAGGTTACATCAGGTTATTCTTTCCTGCTCTAGGTTACCAYGGTGTGTGCTGTAAAACCAGTATTGGAAACAGTGCTGTGTTTTTGTCTGGATCTCTTGTACCTGACAGCATATTCCTTATTTATTAAAGTAATGTCTATTCATCCCACGGGGCTGGATTATGTGTGAGGCACGTAGTGGAGGAGGATCCTGGTGTGGAGAGCCTATAGCAGCCACAGATGATGTGGGTGATGTGGGGTGAGAGGCACAGCGAGGTGCAGAACCAGCTCTTGCCAGAGTTCACCCAGTGTGGGTAGAACAGAGCCCAGCTCTTCAGCTCTGTCTGCTGAGCCGCATTTCCTGTCTGGTGCTGACTTGAAGGGAGTGGAAAATCTTGAGCRTTTGTCAAAATTTGTGTGTGATATCAAGAACCATCTTTACTTCTTCTCACTGATTAGAAAAGAAAGGACAGAGAACGTGAGGAACAGATGAGTGCAAACCTTTCTGCAGACTCTTGAAGCTATTCCATGTTTTCTTGGGAAAATAACACCAGATACTTTGCAGGTTTCAAAGTGCAGGCAGGATTTACCCCACTACAGGAAATTTAGAGAAATGGCATGTTTTCCTTTACAAATTGCATATGCAAAAAAACCCAATAAGAGGCACCATGTGCTGATACTGCATATGGAAACAGTCAGGGTATAGTGCAGTACAAAGCCAAGTGTTACCTTATTGTGGGTTTGAAAATGGTGTCTTTGGGTAAGGTACTGATAGTATTTCCATATAACCTTTGTATGATACCAGTTATCTATCAGACTGCCTTTCTGACCCGCACCTCCCAGGAAAYGAATACTTACTCCAGTGCAAAATTTCTTATTCTGCAAGGCTTGACAACTTYGTCTGAGATCACTCTAAGCCAGTTGGCTGTCGCTTAAATATTCATCAGACTTCAGATAATTGTGATAACCCTTGTAGGCTGGCAAGCAAGGCAAATTAGCAAAAAGATGATTGATCTTTTTTTATATGCAGTTTTATCTTCAACCTTTCCTGGATATATGTTATACTATAGTAATAATTTCTTCTCTAAGGTATTTGCCGGTATCTGGGTTTGCACATCTATTTACAGTTGCCTTGAAGCCTCATAATTGCAATACAGCTGAAATGTCCATTTTCTTTCCCTGACTACAAATAGGGATCAATCGAATTTTAAATGACTGCTTACGGGCTAGCTTCCGATCATGACCTTTGTAAATGATTAGAGCTCACCACTGTTGCTATCTACCTTGAAAGGGTAAGCGGGCAGGTCTGTCTAACTGGCATTTAATCTGGAAGAGAGCCAAAGATATTTGAGCTAAAAACCTAATATGAGTTGGCAAAGAGAAGTATGTATAGACCTTTGCACTACTATTTAGATATTTTTCTGCATTTCTTTTTTTTTGTATTTAGGAAATTCTTTTACCCTGTAGATGAGATACGTATTTTTAGATAGTGTTATGCTGAAGTTATGATAATAACTGCGGTTGTAAAATATATAGCATAAAAATTTGAAAAATRGAGTTTCGAACTCTAAATGACTGAATTCACTTTTTCTGAAGAATGTGAAAATATAGAATGGTTTGGGTTTGAAGGGATCTTAGAGATCATCTTGTTCATCCCTTGCCATGAGCAGAGGCACCTTCCACTGTCCCAGGCTGCTCCAAGCTCTGTCCAGCCTGGCTTGGGCACTGCCATGGATCCAGGGGCAGCCACAGCTTCTCTGGGCACCCTGTGCCAGGGCATCCCCAGCCTCTTAGGGAAGGATTTCTTCCTTGTGTCCAATCCAAATCCACACCCTTTCCRTTTAAAGGYATTCCTTCATGTCCTGTCWCTCCAGGCCCTTGTCCAAAGTCCCGCTGCATGTTTCTTGTCAGCACTCCATCCCAGTGTCCATGTCATCGACAAAGATGGGGAAAGTGCCCCTGACCTGAGCCCAGCTGTGCTCAGGTGTGCCTGGGTGTGGCCCCAGGGCTGTGCCATCCCCAGTCYRGGCAGCAGGAGCAGGGCAGTGCCAGTCCCTCGTGCTGGGTCCTGCTGGGGCCACCCCGAGCCCAGTGCCCGGTTCTGCCCTGGTGCTGCTCCATTGCTGCTCAGTCCCTTTGTGCTGCTCTCCAGATCTGCCCCTCTCCTGGCCCTGGGCACCTGCTGGGCCCTGGCCCCTTCAGCTGGAGTGTSAAACCCTCCTTGGCAAGCAAAGGCAGACCAAAGCTGTTCAGACCAGGTCACAAATGTACTGATTGACAAATGGATTAATCTCAGAATTGCACTGAATAGGAGGCCTGAGGTGCATCTGCTTTCTCTGGGCAAGGGTGAATGGAGGAACAATTCCACTCTGGCCCTTTTTTGCTTAAACCTCCTCTGCTTTGAACATTGGCTGAGATAGTTCTGGTCCTGCTTGTATGTGCAGATCATGTGTAGGTAATGGCTGTCTGCTACCCACGCTTGTCAGTTCCGTTTTATTTTCATGACGAATTGGGCCTGTATCGTGCAATATTTTTATTGCCACCCCTGAATTTATTGAGGTGTTGCTCTGTGCTCTGCTGTCGAAGCAGGAACAAATATGACATCAGTGGGATTAGAAAGCAAACACCTCTCAATTTACTGAGGGATTTTGGAAACCCAAAGTTTTGAAATTAGGAAGAATCTTTAAGAGTTACAAATGYCTTTATGTAATTAAAATAATATACTGTGTTGCCTAATCAATTATTCTTGTGTGGTACTGATGATCAGAATATTTACTAAAGTAATGCTGTTTGTGGGAATATGGCATTCATCATTGACACTTTCAAAGTGCAATACAGTTTATAGGGAATGTGCAATCTGCCTCTTTGTTGCTGGCCAGGGCATTTTCTCCTCTTTTCTATAATGTTGTTGCATATTGCAGATGGCAGTTGTTTAATTAGCTTCAAAGTTGTCAAATGCATTTTTACCTAAAGCCTAAGCCCAGAAAACTCTTGTAAATTTGGTTTGTGGAGGTTTTGTCAGCATTACCTTTGGCTAACAGTTAGATAGAGATGTTTAAATACAAATTAGATTATATTTWAAAAAAATAAATCCAAAAAAACCCAGTATGTTTGAAATATTCAAAATAAATATGAGATTAAATTTTTTTGAATTGGGTATTTACATTCTTCCTATCAGTGTTAAACTGGAGATGTATAGTTGGTAYATAGTACTTGCTAAGGCAGTTTTTAATGAAAAGGATGGTGGTTTTGGAAACAGCTGAGGTATTTGGAAGCAGAAATCCTGTGGAAAGTCACAAGAACTCCAGGATCTTCATTATTCCTCTATGGTCAGGCTGCTCCAATAGTACTTCTGGGAGCMGTGAAATGCTCTCAGGAATTGCTCATGTGTGACTTCTCCCCCATGCTTGCAGGTCTGAAGATAACTTTGTGATCAGGCTGCAGAATACAAACTAAAGTGAGTTTTCTCTCTGTTGKCTAGATGCAGCAGCAGGAGCTGGCCCAGATGAGGCAGAGGGATGCCAATCTSACGGCGCTGGCAGCCATTGGTCCCCGGAAGAAGCGGAAGCTGGATGCACCCGGGCTGCTGACCATCGGAGGAGAGGTATGTGTGTACCAGAGAGGGGAAAGTGCTGCTGTGAGCTTCAGCAACAGCCACAGCTGCTGCTGCTGCTGCTGCCAGGGACGGGTGTCCTTTGGAAATGCACATCAGGGCTGCCACTCCACTCTGTCCTGCCACGGCTAAAACAGCATTTCTTTTTAGTTTTATTTACAAGTGTGAACATTCAGCAGATAATTATAGAATATTTTAAAAATAGTTTAATGTGAAGTGTAGGTCTTAAACTGTTTGCTGCGTTTATAGCTGTTTTCTCCTCTGCATAATTGGAAGAAAAACAAAAAGAGTAGGGAATGAAGAAGTATCTGAAGACCCGTAACTATGGTCTTGCTTACAGTTTGAGCCAAGAGCTTGTAGTAATAGTGTGTAATAATACTCCAATAGTGCAGATTTGTGATAAATGTGTGTCTAAAATTCTTCTAGAATGTCAAGGTGTCCCCCACCACTGCAAAGATGAGTTTCTAATCATGCTAAATTTTAATTTCACTTATGAATACTGTGCTGTAGAAGTAGAATCAGATTCATCAGTATGATTTTCCTGTTATTTTAAGTGAAGTGGCTGTATTACACAATAGAAGGCAAAGTCATGGAAAGCCTGATGTACATTAGCCAAGGTGGAGAGCCAGGGTGCCGAGGCTGCCCTGCTGTGGGTGGTTCTGTGAGAGCACTGTGGTGTTTGGTACAGATGCACTGGGGCTGCTTTTCCTTCTGCTGAGGCTGCCCACTCAGTGGAGTCAGAGGAATTGTCCCTATTACATGCCTGTTCTGAGGAAAATGTGAACATTTTGTTTTGAATAACTAAACTAATAGTTTTGGCTCAGACATTTGACTGTCTAAATGCCAGGCATTTCCAAAGGCCTTTTTGTTTCCCATTTTGGMTAGCTTTTATCTGACTTCTCTCTCTTTTTGTGTGCTAAGATTAGTGCTAGGGAATTAGCTGAGCTGGRAACAGAAGTGGATCTTGTTTATACGCTAAAATTGACTTAGGATTTCAGATATGTAGGAGGTGCTCCCGTTTCTGGTAAAACTTGTTTCATACTGAGGGAGTTTCCTGGGTTTTGTGTTGTCCTGTTACTCCCTTCCTTTCAGTCTCCCTGCTTTATCTTACATTGGTAAAGAATTCTGTTCTCCTCCACATGCATCTGTGACAAATCTCACWGCAACAGGCCCGAAGAAGCTTTCATTAGAAGTTTGACTGTGTGGTCACAGCTTTGGCTTGCCCTCATTTAAAAATAATTTGAACCCTCAAATAATACATGGATCCCTTCAGATTTCCCTGCTTACCTTTACTTGACCAAAGAAATATTTTCTCCTAAGGATCAGAATTTACTTTTTATTATCTCTTGTCCCATTGAAAAGATTATTGTTTTGKAAGCTTTCATAGTTTGATGAACAAAATTGTGATCACCTTCAGTGAGTGAAACATTTTATTCAGAGCCCTGTATCTGAATGGATTATGATGAACAGCTTCTCTCTCTCTCTCCCTCTGGAAGCTCCTTATTCTCTTGGTTCAGTGCTTCACGGGAAAATAAAGGTCTGGGGCAAATTCCAAAGGCTTCTGGATATCTTTGCTTCCTTTTGCTACTCCCCTAGCCCAAATTTTGCTGAACAACTGTATTGTTCAGCTGGCAAACTATCCTTGAAGTTTTTGCTACTACGTGATTTCCTGGAGCCATGAACTGTGTGCCAGTTCAGATGGAGCTGCTCCCATTCCTTGTCTGCTAGCTGCTAGCCATCCTGGCCAGCTCATACAAATGGCTGCTGGGAAGCTGTTGGAAGCTGTGTCTGCATTATTCCATGTCTTGTAGGGAAGAGGAGCTGAAGTACTGCMGAAGCTGTGTTCCACAAGCTGCCCCCTTTCTGTTACTCTTCTGAGATTGTTAGGGCTGCTGTGCAGAAATAAACTCAACTCCTCCTAATTATTTCACTGTAAAAAGGTACTGCAATTTGTATCGTTTGTCTAAGGCTGTCTGATACTCCTTCTTTGGGTTTCTGGAGATATAAACATCATGATTCAGTTTTCCATGGTACCAACACCCCCTTAGCCTGATTCCACCCTCAGAAATCTGACCACCTCTGTGGTCTGTGACACTGATTTCTCCCAGCAATTTTTAAGCTGCTTAATGCCCTTGCTACTGATAATCTCTGCTTGCAAGGTCTGACTTGGACAGAGCTTTCTTGGCCTGCCCTTTTTTTGATCAAAATACCCACTTTTTGCATTGAAGTTGCTGGTTTCCTCACTAATCTTTTTTGTCCTACATGTCTGCTGTYGTTGCAGCTGGGACCCTGCATGTTTGCTGATCCAAAGAGGTGTCATTTACAAATCATCCCACCCTGGCATGTTCCTTTTTCTCCCCCTTTTCTGAACTAACTCTTGTTTGATAATTTGCTTTATACTTTAGCTGCATTGGCCATTTTTCAGTGAGCTGTGCTGGATTTCAGTCCAGCTTCTTGGCTTAACAGAAATATTAACTATTTCTCTTTGGAAATTGTATCTTTTTAATAATACCCTTTTCCTCTGAGCAGGAGGGGTAGTGATGGGTATTCTACTGAAGTATGGGTATTCTCCCTAGTTATTCAGGGAGTAGTGATGGATGTTCTACTTGAGACAAAAAGTTAATGGAAAATACTTCTAATTCTGTGTTCAAATACTGTTTGTTATATAGAGAGAAATAGCTCTTTTCAGCTTTTGTAAAAGTGAAAAAGCTTGTGTTAATAACTGCAAATATTTTCTACCAGCACTGCGTTCACGACTATTTTCTTTAAGCTTGTTCTCTGTCCCACATTGCCAGAGCTCATTTGGACTTTGCTTGTTTTCATAGCTAAATAGATTATTTTTTTGAATGGCAGGCAGGAGTGTTGTAAGTTATCAAGACCAGAGCCATCAATTGTATCTCCTGTATAGTACAGGTGATTTTTTTTTTTTGAGTACTTCTCCTTGGGGACATGGGGGACATGGAAAATCAGTAGTTTTGGAGTGAGATTATTTTTGCATTTTTTTTTTTTAATTTTCTTCTACATGCAACCATATAAAAGATGACCTTCCAAAACATGGGAAAAATATTTTGTAGAACAGTGGATGAGCTGGGGCTAGGTGTTCCCAAATGACACTGGCACCACGTTTCAGACCATGGACACTCAGTGGCCTGAGCCAGTGTCACTGTGACCCCACCCCACTCCTTGCATTCCTGCCCCTTCCCTTTGCTTGGCTCTGTACCCTAGGCTGACCCATTTCCATTGGATAAATAGGAAGAAGACTGATCTAAAAACAATAAAAAGTGAGTAGTTCCTGCTTAGCTTGTTGAAGCAGTTTGGCCTAGAGCCTAATGAACACTGGAAAAGGAACTTAGAGCCAGAGACAGCAAATGTGAGCTCACCTGCACTTCATTCGCTTTCTTTTAGAACCTTTTGTGCCTGCTCCTATTTTAGATGATCTGCTAGAAACACAGCTGCCTCTGTAGCAGGCAGCAGCTCATCAGTAATTCAGCCTGCTTATTATTATAATGTGGTTTAGATCAAGAGCGAATGAGGAGAGGTAAAGAGAAGCACGATACCTTTGGAAGGATTCAGCTTCTCTGCCTGCAGAGTTGAAAATACTTCATTTGCAGAATTTTTCAGAGGTTTTCCATTTCTTTAGTAATACTAGACAAAAGTTATTGGAAAATATTTAACAAAGTCACAGCTTTTTGGAATGGAGTCCATGGTTATCAGGTTAGGGATCCAACAATCCTGGCCTGTGTGATGTGTTTAGCAGCAGYRCTGCCCAGTTCTGATCCATGCTGTKGTCCTGTGATGCTTGTGTGGCACTCAGCAGGGGCTGACACAGCAAGGTTCCAACATTCAGGACAAGCATTAGGGCTTTTCAGTTAGCATCCCTAAGCACCTCTAAGGTCAGATTCAATATGAGTTTTGATTTGCTTTTGTTTACCTTAGTTGCTTTTTGATTGATTTTGAATCTCTTCAGTTCACATTTTCAGTTTTTTCTTAAATTGTAAGGCTTTTAAGAGTTAGAATTAGGATTTTGGTTTGTTTATGGCATAGACACTTTTATGTAATTATAAGGGTTAAAACTTAAAAAAAAAAAGTGTTAACCATCACATGACTATGTCAGATAGCTTTACAAGCTAAATATTTGAGTACTGCTAAGGTGGCATGAATGCAGAATTTGCATCTTTTCAAATCCCTAGTTTTTATTATGAAACTAAAGGTAGAGGTTAAATACAAGTATCTTTCTGTATTTAGTAATGATAATAATAATAAAATTTGGCATTTCATCAAGACCTATGGCTAGTATCTCAAAATACATAAATACAGAGTATGTGTTTGAAATATCTGAGGGTATAATTTGTTTAAATATCAAGTGAAAGCCCTCTCCTGGTACTTGCTGGCACAGATGGTTTTTGAATACTGAGCTTCCAAAGGCAGCTTCAGGGCTAGTTCAGWGAATCACCACTTATTGAAGACAGTCATTTTAGGGATAAGAAAAAGCCCTCTTTCTCACACAGCAGAAGAGTAGTCATCTTAAGAATATTCAGCAAACTATCCCAAACACCATCTTTCAGAATGTGCAGGACCATATGTTGGGCCGGTGCTCAAGGGAGATGTGATGCTCTGTGTGTTTTCTCATCCAGTATATTCCAGCCATTATATTAGTCAAGAAAGATAATACTCTTGCAGACCTGGAAAGTCCCAAAACTAACAGTTAAAACAGTGCTGTTTTGTGAGGAGAAAAGCTAATTACTGAAATGACTGTGAGATGTATTTTGGGTACRAGGCACCACATTTTTTAATTAAATTAATCTTTCAGATGGTATAATTTGAGTATTTTAAAGCTGTTTTCATGTTTATGTTTTGTATAAAATATTATTAAAATTCTAGTTTAAGACTTGAAAATCTGTGTTATACCAGAAGCTTCCAAATGCAGACACAGAGAAGTTACTGAATTACTGTCTGTTGGTTCTTTATACTGTTAGTAACTCCTGATTTCTAAGTAGAAATGTAAGGATGGATTCAGAATTATGTGGGAAGCACTTGGTACTGTGATATAGTTGGAAAAAAGTATTGGTTGCAGACTCCTTTTGGTTCTGCAGAACTGAATGTGCTTCATTTGTTTGCACCTTTTCAGCTGACACTCTCACTTCATGCTTGGGTTATCCATGGGCATTTCAGCAACACCTGCAATTATTCCTCAAATCCATTGTCAATATTTTAACAATATTACAAAGAAATCAGGATACTAGGTAAATTTCTCTTYGGAATGGGTCAGACATAAGCTGTCTCTTAGAAAACCTTCCTTTCTTGTCCTTTTAAACAAAAAGAGATGTGTAGTGTGGCCTGCAGAAGTCTCTCTTGCAGAGGCGTTGTGCCTTGGCTTCTGTCCAAAGTTTTTACTCAGTGAATATCACCCACTTTTAAGSTCATGAATCAGCCAATATATGAGGCATAACTGTCTTGACAGAACCAAAAGAATCAAGGAATAGTCTTTTATTTTGGGGAAAATCACCAGTCATCAGCATTGCTGTTCTCTGAGCAAATCTTTAGGCTGTTCCCTCACCTTTCTGGACTTAAAGTTTATTTTATGGCATCCACTTTTAAAGATCCTTGGAACAACTTGTTCAACAACTCAAGTCTCAGCTTGGTCTTCCTGATGTATGGTTGGCTCTTGATAAATTACTTTTTGTTTAAAGTGGTCAAGATATGTTTAGAAAGCACTGGAATCTACAGCTCCTTTACGCTGGTTAAGCTTGAGTTATATGAAAGAGATAACACAATAGAYCAGAACACCTTTTGCAAGAATTTGTGGATCAAGGAGTCAAAGTTTGCTTTTTGTGCTTTTTAAGGCTGCAGACTAAGAGCAGAACAGGAGGAACTTTTATGATTTATTGTCTCATTGCCTTTTCAAGTTGTCTTTGCTCCACGTCTCACTGAAATGATGAAATGCAGTGTTCTCTCAGACCTGGTTTGGTGTAGGATGTCACTGGTGGTGA